CTTACACTGTTATTACACACGATTTAGGATATTCATTGATATTTTTGAAATTTGTCAAATGTATGGAATTCGTTGTCAATGTTCATTTCGCTAAACACAATAATGCCACAAAAATTGTAACCGATCATCAACTCCGAGATACCTTTGTCATTTTTATTCAAACCTTGTATTAACATCATAAAAGTGGGTTACTGGTGCACATCGATTTGTGTAAAAATGGCCGACTGACTGCCATGTTTGTGTTATTATATGTGTTCTTAACCTTTTCACATGCAAGCTTTGACCGATTTTGTTGAAAGTAATATGTGAACGACAACATGGTACACGTTGGCACTTTGATTTGTTTTTGGTTTTTTTTGTATCCTTTGAATGACTGGTGGTTATTTTGTCCCCAAAATATTTAACATGTCGGCATGTCTAGGTCAATTTCATTCAAACTTGTTTCGAATATCATATATGATAGCTTAATGATGCACAAGAGTTTTTGTGATTTGATTCAAACTGGTCAACTGGTGGCCATGTTGGTGCAAATAAGTAAGACACGACAAAATTGTGTAATGTAAAGCATGCCAATTAATTTTTAGATTTTATTCATACTTGGTAATGAACAACACACGTGGTGCTTTGTATCCTTATTTTATTCAAATGTTTAACTTGGTGTGTTCAATCAGACTCAATAGATGGATACTAAAGACGCTGAATAAGTTCTTGACCACAATTCAAATGCGGGGTAGAATAACTGATCGTCATGTATTATGTAATCCGGTAGTGTTATTATGAAGTGCTACGTGTGTTATTTTCTGACATTTTGTGTTGTCGATGTATATTAAACCCACATAATGTGGGAACAAATATTAGTTTGCTTCAGGAATTTTTAAAAAAAAATTTAGCAAATACATTTCTTTGTGCGTGCAGCTTCATCAATCCATGTATACATCCAATAATTACCATCCATTGATTATCTTAAAAGCTTTCGCATAAGGTTTTTTTTTGCCATGAATCTGGAGCGCAAAATTCTAAAACTGCAAATAAAAGAATGCATATTAATACAACGCGACAAGTTGAGGTAATTAGCATGTGGGAAAACAGCTATAACAAAAGATTGTACAATACAGTATCTATTGAATGGACCGAGTTGTATTCAATAAATTGTATTGAGCTGCAAAATAATCAAGCATTGCTGCAGTTAACTCTCAGTCACTTACGATGTCCACCGATTGCACCACATGCAAGAAATCATACTCACCGTAGTTATTAAAGGGCGGTAGTCGTCGCGCTGTGCATGTGCCACATTTGTATTGATAAACGTTGATTTCCCACAATCCAATGCGCTCTTCAAATGGAAATCACAAGTATGAGGTTTGACCTGGGCGCGACTTACACTGATTACCGTCGGCGACTCCTTCGATACCTTCCAATAACATGAAAATTACTTAATTATAGCTTGGAAACGTCTCAGTTCGTACTCGTTGATCTGCGCAACAGTCAAAGTCGCCATCTTTGTTTATATGAGACCCATATATCTCGACGACTACCGCGCTTTAAGCTAGGATGCTAGTAGCAGACATATAATCTGTTGACGGGTATTACCATGACCTATTATAACCAACATATCACGTTAACCAAGAAAGATGTCTTTCACCACATTCATATACATAGTTCTCACGGTTCAATCATTCAAGGTAATACGCTGAGTTGTTCGAGCGCATCAAAAATTAGAACTCATTACTCCCATTAGAACTCATATTCCCATATCTGAAATTAAGATTGATGTATCAAACAAGACCTATATGAAATGAATTCAGTTGACTATTAGTCGGCACCTGTAATCTCTTTAATCCTAAACCGTAACAATATATACTTATTTGGATTTTGAAAATGCTATAAATATCATATCAAATATATGCACGTTATCAGTATTGTCTGAATAATTTACCAAAGCGACGAATTGAAGTGAATGATAAATTGAACATGTTTTGTGTCTATTTATGGCACTCAAGTTCCCAAATGGATTGATATAAACTCAATCAAATTACCCTGTGCTTTCAAAATGTGTTTCTTTTCTGGAACTATTAATGCATCTTTTGCTATTATTGATTTTTAGATTTGGATGCTATTAATTGATTTGGAAGTTTCTATATAATTAAAAACATCAGTCTTTCCCGCAAAATATCCGTTTCATTTTCAATCGTACTGTCAACCGTGTAGACAATGTGACAATCATAAATTCCTACCCTTGAGAGTTGAGCTTATTTAATATTTTCGGAAAAGAAAAGCGTTTTTAAAGAGTTGGCTAAATGTTCATTTTATAATATTCAAGCTTATGTTGTTTTACTACATGCACTCGGTGGGTATTCTAGAATGAATGTTAGACCTAGAAGCGGAATTTCAGCGCATTATATTGATGTCAGAACAGAGAAAAAAATACATTCACCCAATTTTTATACACGTTCAAAACATATTATACATACTTCATTTGGTTCCCCCAGGAGATGTTCAAATGTTATCTTTCACATAATTGATTGAAAACTTAATTGAATACAAAATTCGGTATTAAATCACTTTTTTAAAGCAAATTGGATTGTTTTATGCTGATATCACTATTTTGGAATCCAGTAGGGTTCACAAATACTGGAATTGCTGTAATGATTTCATGATGAGAAATATAAATGCCTCTAATAGCATAGCAAATGACATTTTGCGTTATTGTTCTATTGTGCTACGGAATTGTTTATTATATGTTTGCTTTTCAATTCCCCCGTAATAACAACGATGTATTGGACAACTTGACACTGTATATGTGGACGATCCTACGTTGAATCTATCATTGTAAAGCCTTACATCATGTAACAACAATTGTTTAACGTTTTGAAATAATTACATTACTGTCATACATACACATATGGATACAACTCTTGTATGAAGCGAGTGACTTGCCTGTCATTCAATCAATCATAGTTTGATTTGTTATACCCTAACCAGGGAATACAATTGTAACTAGTACTGGGATTCTTGGAATATTGGCAATCCCAGTGGTATCGTGTGATGATTGTCAGCTGCTATGCTTCTTCTTGCGTATAATGTTCATAGACTTCTAGAGTTGAAAATGCCATTACGTTAACGTTTACTGTTATATTTCATAGCATATATACAGCTATTGTAATTCGTTTTCATGCTTACAACTTTTCGATTTACGTAAAGCAATTCCAGTTACTATACATACATGACACCGCTGCTTGAGATGTATAGTAACTGCACTTAGTTGGCAAATTATCTACTACTGGAAAAAAAGCTAATTAACTCTCAGTTTGTATTACTACGATTCTCACGTACCATATGACTGACATAATGGGTTTCTCAAAGTAGGCAAATAATAGACATGTGATATTACACGTCCATCTAGAATCAATTTTCTGGACTTTCAAAGAAAATAATCTTCATGGGGCAGCAGTTACTTAAACTCCCAGTGTTGTGTAACAGGAAGTTATGCATGTGTTCCTTGTTCTGCAGCAAGGTTATTCGAAGGTAATTGCGTAGTGGAGAATATTTTGCAATACTGCTTCGAGCAATGCAAGGTATTGAATACATTTGTTATCATATGTACAACTGTATCATCTCGACAATCGCGATACAGACCACTAGAGTAATGACGAGTGTAAATCTTACCTGCAGAAACCTGTGGAATTACTGACAAACATCAAATTATTAGCTTTGCCCAATTTTTGACTCAAATTATTTCTAAAACTAGCAACGTATGGGCTAAGATTTAAGATCTAAGATCTCGTATGTTTTCATATCGGACAATTGCGTTCACGCACAGGAGGAAACAGAAAGAAACGCCCAAACTTGTTAAGAATATAAAAGACAACTTCAGTAATTTTAGCTATGATTACTAGTACGGTAACTATAGACAGGTATATGTGTTAGTTTTACAATTATAAAATAGTTCTAAAGTAAATTCAAGTGCAGCCTTGCAGAATAGCAAGAAGTAGCAGTCTCACCGTCAGTTCGTTTTTTTCAAGAACAATAACTCTAGATGTACTCGCGTTGATTGTCATGGCGGAAAAGACATATTTATGAATATAATAGTAAATCTCCAAATGAGAATTGAATACAATAGATTTTTGGGCGCTTGGCCCGGGCTAAGCGTACGTTCACGTACACTCCGTTGGCCCGTGCTGGAGATCTTGATCAGGTTTTGAAAACGGCCTAAATTTAATCCGTACTTAGCGTTTCTTAGCCTGTGATAAGGAGCTATGCGTGAACGCTACTAATGTCTTGCAAAGTACTGAGTAAATTTGAAATTTCAACTAGAATGTCTACATTTGGGTATACCCCTAAAAGTGTTGCTATAAAACATTCTAAAACGTTAACTATCGACACTGATTACGTGCGTCAACACAAACGAGGTTTCAGAAAAGCTATGTTATCTCTGAATTTGAAGTTACAGGTATGCCTATATTTTTTTTCACCCGCGGAACAAATAACACGGGGTCAAAGGTATCACGTGCTAGTGCAGGATATTACCCTAGCTTAATAAATAAGGCTCTCTAGATATTCAAGCTGCTCATGTGATAAGTATCAATATATGAATCATCCTTTTCAGACATGATTTCTGACAATTTCCATATGCGCAAAAATTGTTACCTGTAGTTGTGGGTTGTGAATTTGTATTATTTTACACACTTTACGTTTTTATTTCAACCAAAATATTTTTTATGAATTGTCTATCGGCTACGGTTGAATTGACTCAACAATAAGTAACATATTAAGAATGCATTACTCAAATAAACATATACCTTAAACACTGAATAAATTCTGAGTTTTAAGTCTTACTTTCAGAAGTTGCTTTATGTGTTTTAAAAGGGATACATGGGAAAAAGAGAAATTTGCGATCTTACAATAGCAACAGTTTAAAGTAGTAATATTAATTATTTTTATTATTTTAGCTTCTAATAATGTAGGGTAACTCATGTGAGATCCTATATCATTTTATACAGGTGTCTGTGACGGTTAGTATATTTACATTAACTGCAATTGGCTTCGATCGATACTTAGCTGTAGTTGAACCGATGAGAAACCTTAGACCATCTTCTCTACCAAGACTTGTTACTGCGTTTATATGGTTAATATCATCCGTATTAGGCATATTCCAACTTGTCACTGCCAGAACCAAGGCATATCCCATGGATACAGGCGAGGTGATTTATGATTGCGACGAACGTTGGAATAATCAGTTACTGCAGAGTGTCTACGAAGTATTTGTTATCTTTGCAACGTACGTGATTCCGCTTATCATATTATCTGTGTCATACACGGCTGTAGTGAAAGCTCTTTGGGCAAGAGAAATACCAGGGAATAATGACAAAAAGCGTGATCGGCGATACCGAAGATCGAAGAAAAAGGTAAGAAGTGCAACTTGTTTGTGAGTTTGAGCGTGTGAGATTGTTTGTTATTTTGTTACGATATTACATTCTAAATTACGCTTGCCTTACGCCATGTCTTCGGTGTATATGACTTGGCACGGATTGTGCATATCAACATATATTTCAGTTGGCATTAATTGCGTTATTTTCTATCACATGTTTTTCAAATTACAGAGTGGTTCAATAAGCTACTAGGTTTAAAAGTGACCAGAAATGTCAATTACGGCTAATAGTTAAACACTTCTTATAGTGAAACCATCTATAGTCACTGGTATTTCTATTCTAAATGTTGTGAATGTCATATCTACCGACCCCGCCGCCAACCCCATTTGCGCGTTCGTTTACATATTCAAATTGTGCGCTATATTTGTGTAATGTTACTAGCGATTAGAGTGGAGAAGTTGTTGCTATGTGCTTTTGACCATAGACTTGCGTAAAACAAATGTGGGACGCAGGACATTATCGCGTGTACGTTTTTCGACTTGTATTTAAAATACAACTGGGCGTTACATGCTTGTATTACGCAAGTCTATGGCAGGAACAATAGATCATCTGTGTCGATACAATTTCAATATCAATAAACAAAAAAAAGTTTCAGAAAAACTAAAAGTACCATTGTAAAGACAAAGGACCGACATAGGAAGACTTATGGACCTATTATGTGTTTGCGTTGTTCGACGTGCATGCTCAAAAAGAGTAGTACATTGCATACATGTAGTACATTGATTCATTGCATACAACGTGACCGGCTCTCCTATAATTCGCGTATCGTATTCAAATATGAGAGATGAAAATGAAATATAGCTGAAAGCTATTTGCTTATATAGGATATGTGTCTATGCATGCTTATTTGCGTTGTCAGTCTCTTGGTTGAACCCAGCTGTTTTCTTAGAATGTAATGGATTTATAATAAACATTTTCTAAATCATTCGCATTGTCTGTTATATTATCTGTTGACATTACGCATACTGGAATACAGAACAAACTTAAGCTACATGGCATGTAAGATGTTACATAATCATTTCGTTATATGTTTTCAAGGCGCAGTTATTTAAAAAATGTATATCCATGAAAAAACAATAGTGTAAAAGGTTTTCATTTATTGGAATAACTAACAAGATCTAGCAAGAATTTGTTGAGGAATGTTTAACCAACATACAACCCTGAATTTCAATCGATTTGTGTGAATGCGATCCTATTCTCACTGTTTTTGTCTTACCTGCCGATAGTAAAAACATAATCTGTTAATGTGAACGTAGTATATAATTACACCTACATAAATAATGAGAATTCATACCATATATGGGACAATTGTTACCAGCAAAATAGTGGGTTTTGCATTAGCTGTGTCGGTGAGATTCAGTAGTGTGCTTCATCTAACCAATGGTATATGTGAGAATAGATTTGTTCTTACAAACAACAGTGAGAATGTAAGTCAACATCATGGAAATTTGCATTTATCTGTTCGAATTAGAACCATTTTATTTTCAGTTATATTTCTACATATCAAATAATCAAGTTTAGATTAATATCACACAGACGACATGAAACATATAATTAAAACTGTATTAAATACATTTTCTACTAATCAGTTTGAGAAGGTTCCAATGTCAGAGTAATATAATTTACAATTTTAAACTCATACATGTTTATTAAATTGCCATAGTGAAATAATCCGTCGTATATGGTGGCCATTCGTTTATTCTATTTTACAATGCATTAATTAACTCTATGTTCAAAACGTATTAATGAATAACCCCCAATATATTGGTGTTTTTGAAAACCTGTGCATAAACGAATGGCCACTATATGCCACGGATTTGAAATGCTTCAGAAGATTCAAAAGATTAACCTTAATATCACACCAATTAAATTAAAAAAATATTTTTCAACAAATCTCACATTTGGTAATTGTAATCTGTTTTGTTTTTCAGGTTACAAAGATGCTGGTGGCAATCGTAATTATATTTGCAATATGCTGGTTACCGCTACACTGTTTAATATTAGCAACTGTTTTCGATATTACCATTTTGGAGGATCCTAACAACCGTACCGTCATCATTAGCGTGTACTTGTTCGTGCATTGGCTTGCGATGGCTAACAGCTTTATCAATCCATTCGTATATACCATTTGTCATGACGGATTTCGAGTGAGTATATACGTGGCGAGAATCGCATGGAACATTTATGGATTATGATGTATGGTAATGATCGTAATGATGTATTTTGCTTGACAGCTTGATACATTGCACGTCAGTGAATGTCCTTGTTAAATGACGGAATATTAGTTTCAATAATGGTCATGAGAAAATTCAATCATTCTTTGTCAAATTAGATCATTTGTCATGTGTTTTTGTGACGTGGCGTGCGAACCGTATTTATTAATAACACACAGGTAGTCCAGCGAAAATATTGGAATGCAAAATCATCGAAATTAAAGCTTACTGATATAGGAATCTGAACAAAATAAATCTCCTGGGAGCGGGTATGGGGAGGTGCTTCAAATTGTCGCATGCCAATTCTGAATGTCACTGCAAAATATCCGCACGTAGCTAATTATAGATTGAGATTGGTGAGGGATTCCTGGAATGAGACGCCGATGAAGCACAATATATTTTCCAAATGTCGATCATTTTGGGGAGTTGTCAATAAATTATTCAAATGCAATCAGTTTAAAATATAGTTCGTGGCTGTATGCAATTTTACAGGTTAACCATTGCCATAAATAAAACCCTCAATATTGCAGGATTCTTGAAATCTGGAACACCCTTAGGAGAAGATTGCAATAATTGAATTTTTACTTTTAGCTACGTTTTAGCCGTACTCGGGCACATTGGGATGTAGTCAATTAAAATGTAAGGGTAAATTCTAAATCTACCTAACAATACTTTTTATTTTTTATCGTGTCCGTTGCAGGAAGAACTGAAAAGATGTTGTAACATATGTGGACGTTGTGGCCTGAATTGCATCTCACACATAAACTCAACAACAGTGATCGACTCATGGCGCTCGTCGCGCAATCGAAGTCGATCTACAAAATGCTCATGAACTGCTATCCTCTACACAGGCAATGCGTGCGTCTAGGGAAATTTTAAATCTACAACCAAAAGGATCGCGTGTTCATATAATCATGTATTCGGCCTAACCTGGATTTCTATCAAATTCAGTGAGTGTATTCCCATGACGTAACTAACTGAGCTGGGGATTATATATACAACGTAGTTGTTTGTTCGTATTCATTACATAAAACACGTGCCACGAATTCAACCAGAATAGTGAAATATATATCGTACGGTACAAGTGAAGAAATTATTTTAAGTTTACCTTACAAGGTATAAATTTCTCAATTCATTTTTTTATTAAACCAATTATGTATGTATTCGCTGTCATCGGTAGCTGTTGATGTTTGCCAAATATATAGAAATATTCCGAATTTGTAGTATAACGTTTCCGTAGAAGCTGAATCTACACATGACAATGCTCAATTGAACGATTCATACTGATGTGTCTTTTTATATTATACGCAGAAAATGTACCATCATCATAACATTCAACATATTATTACATTGTATGATATACATGTCGTTGGATGCTATATCTGTCCGTACATTGAGGCGATACAAACACGAAAACATTATATTCAAACATAAATAGGAGTCATTTTTCTAAAACAGTTTAAAACTATATAAATTGTTGTTCCTGTGAATTTGCGCCTCAAATCAAGTCAAGGATTTCAATTAATTCAATTATAAATAAAATTACTAAATTCAATATAAATATTATTACTATTTTTTAATTACTTGGACGATATTAATTTCATCATTAGAAACGCTAGATGTTTGTTATTTCAAGTATTGTATTTCAATAGTAGCTTATATTTTAATTCCACGCTTCATGCTATGAAATCTACTGATTTTTAATAGGTCTTTGACAACTCTGAAGTAAACTAGAAGTGTAACCATTTAATTTTGAATATAGATTTTTCTTATATATCAATATATCAATATAATAATACTCTATATCACCATAATATGTAATGAAATACAGGTAAACGGATTAGTCTGTGCAAGCAATTTGACCATTTCACATCATGACTGATTACTGCAAAATAAGCAAATATACAAATGCACCAGAAGACTCTACGATATTTACTGCGCGCTCACAAACTACAGTCTATAGATTATTTCAAGTACTGAGAAGCTGCGAAATAGATACATGAGATGAATTTACTACTAAACCTTATATTGTAGAGTCACTTTTAAAATTTATTTATGTATGACATTAGCTTGAAGGTTATGATGAGAGTGCCTTTCATGTTTTCCAGGTCTGAACATTTATGAGGCGTTCTTCTTTCAAAGGGCAATGTTAGCTCATCATGTGACCCACTCCAGGTTTTAAGTATGCGATCCCAAAGAATGCGTAATTTAATGAAATGTAAACCACGTTCCCTGGCCTAGTCCACAACCTCGAAGATTTGTTCTATTTATTCGTATGTGTGTCAACTAATATTATCACACATAGACATTTTAGAGGAAATTGTATTTACTGCCCAATCAGTTATAACAACCCATTAATGTCGAATAATACCTACTTGTTTTAGTTGTTTGTATTCAACGACGAGGTAATTGATACTTAAAACACTGATATGGGACGTTGCCCAGTTATGTATCTGAATTTATACTGCAAACCATCAAAGTTGCATTTCAACCATTCCACCAAAAAACATCAATGAATCCTAAAAGTAAACCTGATATATTGTATTATTGAAGCTAGTAAGCATTTGACATTGCATTATTTGATCACCAAATTAAATATACTATTTATTTGTTTAATCGCTCAGGCCCAATGTGAACAATTTTAAAATATTACTTATAAATTTGATTTCAGGAATTTTACTTTTCATATTTCTTATACTAGATGTGGCTCTAAAGACACAGTCGATAATCAATGTAATCGTTCTTAATTCTTATTCATAATTAAACATGCCTCGAAGAGCTACTGGCGTGGACATACTTCAATGGAAATCTTTGGATTGTTCAAGAATCTTTCATGAATGAGTTGCATTAGTAATTAGAGCGCTCCGGGTGATGTATTATTTATGTTAATACACCCCCTCCCCCTTCGTATCTTAGACTTTTCAAGTCTTCTATAATTTAATCACCCTTAATAAGTTGTTGTGTAGGTTTAAAATTACTTGTATACTCCGTTTTTCATTAAAATATGCCGTCATTGTGAATTTGTTTGTGGTGTACAAAAGATTGGACGTCTTTAAATGTATGCTCATACAAATGTGACAAGAAGTTATTTCAATCTTTTGTATTGGTGTTCTGTAACTTACATTCATATCAACGTAACAAATTTACTGTACGTTTTAATTTTATTAAATGTATGATTAATTATAATATTTATATTTGTTCAGTCGCTGAAGAAAATTTCACCAGCTAAAAGTTGTTCTGCGAATAGTAACCCTATTTAAATACGTTTATACAGTTGATTGTGCCGTGGTAAAGACCGTTTGACAAAAAAGCATTAAAAGAACAATACATTTATCACTGATTGCGTTATCAACATGTCATGTACACATGTATAGTTGTATTTATTTTTTTGAATATATTATCTTATATGTGTTTATGTGTAGTTTTATTATTCAATACTCCTTAGTTAGAAGAATATTCCGCTCACTTGACGATAAATACACCTGTATTACATAATGTCATACCTGTAACGCTTAAACCTGTCATGGTGGTATCCAGTAAACATAGATAATGAACACGCCAGGCAGAATTCGCAAATCATATATTAAAATTATTATTCACTGAACTCTCATTTACTTGTTAAGTTACTATTATTAATATTTTATAAATATTACACCACGTGGTCAGCTGGCATAGTTACCAATTTTGGTTCTTTAATGTCTGGTTGATTGTATATATGCATAAGTCGCGTATTTTTGTGCATAATAAATATTTATATGTTATATTTATATTTTAACATGTCCATTGCATATGTGTATGAACCCATCTATGTGATAATTAATTGTACATTGTGAGTCATTCATGAATATATTAAAGTTATGTACTTTATTATTTAGAACACACACTAAAGGAAAGTACGTTTGTAGTTTGGAACAACTTGACACAATCTACGACAAGTTCAACAAGTTCATTAATTAAATATGCTCAATCTTATAATGTGACAAGCCAGAACCAATCTGTTTGCATTTAGTCGGTAGTCATCGATTACAAACTGGAAATGATGGATATAACATGACAATCATACACATCAAACCGCTACTCTTTGCGACAGGAACAACTGAATACTGTATACGCACACTGGTCATGAACAGTGAACGTAACACAAGTCTCCTTCAAAAGGACGCTGTTCGCCGATATCAGTGGCGGCGGCACCGGAGCAGTGGGGGCAGATGCTCGGTCGCCCACCCTAGCTGAAATACTTGTTGTCAGCAAAATTTGCTCTTCAAAATGCAGGAAATAGCGTTTCAGATGGTCCAGATTTTAGATATCGCCCCCATGCAAAATGTCCTGTCGCCGCTTCTGCATATACGAATACTGCCTGCGAGTTGACCATGGGAGTCAAACCCAAAATTTCTATGAAGATTGGTGGACACGCTAATCATGTTTTAATACACAATACAATGTGGACAATCCTATATTTAGCAATAATAGTACACCCTATCGCATGCATAACGTGCGTATTTCTACAGTGTGATCTAATACAGGAAAGATGGAAAATACATATCACATACATTGACGTCGCATACTGCCGATCGTTTTGTCATTGTCAGCGCTGCTCGAGGGATATCCGGTTCTATCGGGGTTGTATACGGTCCAATATCTAGTCATTCTCGTGAAAATAATTTATTTCGTTAAAATTGCGTGTGTAGCCAATGGCTAGGATTTATACAAAAACTCACCATATGTGTCTAGTGACGTAAACTTAAAAGGAAATATTATCCTGGATTATATAAAAATAAGATTCGGTAAACACATAATCTACGTGTGTAAACATTAATAGCCACATTTCAATGATAAATAAGATATTAAAATGTATAATTTACTGATCCCGTTGCCCCAAGGCTAATGTAATTAATACCCATTGATAACGATGCCTGATTACAGAATTACCCTAC